GGCCCTTGGGGTGTTGATGCTTGGTTGGTTCGGCCAGGGGTGCATCATGTTTTGTGTCCGATTGCGGCTCTCTGCCGTTATTTGCGCGCCACGGCTTCAGTGTCCGTGGATGCTCTGTAGGTCGATCCGGTTTCCTTTTTTCCCTGTTCGAGGGTGCGGGTCTCCAAGGTCATCCGGAGGGTTATTAACCACCGTGCTGTGCAGAGTTTATTGTGAAATTCCCCCGGTGCGCATGAAATAAAGTGTTCCCCAAAAATTAATTTTTCTTCGTAAAATGGTAAATTCCCTTCCCTAAACATGTCTATGTAAAAATAAATACGAAATTCCACTTACCCTGGCTGTGGGGACGTGGACAAGGTGCGCTGTGACGTCATCAGGGCCTGGTCACCCGTGCGTGACAGAACAGAATAGAACCAGTGAAGAGCAGAGGTGCCATAGGCACAACCAGAGAACACTGTATAAGCATCAGAGGTCCCCGGTTGTTCAACACCCTCCCAGCAAGCATAAGAAATATTGCCGGAACAACCGTGGACATTTTCAAGAGGAAACTAGATTTATTCCTCCAAAGAGTGCCGGACCAACCGGGCTGTGGTGGATATGTGGCCCTGCGGGCCGCTCCATGCAACAGCCTAGTGGACCAAACTCTCTCAAGTCAAGCCTGGCCTCGGGCCGGGCTTGGGGAGTAGAAGAACTCCCAGAACCCCATCAACCAGGTATCAACCAGGCGTGAATCGCCCTGACATGGTCGCATGGGCCATTCAAGCACTGGGTGTTATGACATATATATTTTCAATTATTTGTTTTATGTATTCCCAATGCGTTTTTTTTTATCGTATATGATGCATATATGTGTCCTTTACAATATGTATACAGTAGAATGTTCATAATGTTCCATGGAACTGTGATATTGTACATGTGTCAGTAATGTGTTCACAATAAATGTTTATTGTCGCAATATTACCTGTTAAAAATTTACTAAATTTACAATATGTACAGTTTCACACACTATTTACACAGTAACACACTGTATTACACACTCAGTACTTCAGAAGTGAATAATAGTCAACGAAGTAGCCCATGGTACACAGTGCAACTTTGCTCTCAATGCACCAGGTACAGATAAATTTTTGCTTCCTGTTTCTTCATTTTGTGTGCTTGCAAATAACTCACTCACGAATACCCTTGGCTTTAGTACTTGTAGGTTGTATGTAGCCACGCTTGTAAAGCATAAGGTAGTATTGAAAAGATTATAGGAAAAGATCAATTATAGGAAATAGGAAAAGATAAAAAATTTGTAAAGTAGTCTTGAAAAGATCGCTTTGTATGGTCCCACACATGAAGAGATTCAGCTTACCTCAAGAGTGGTAAGACCTTTGCCCAGCCCCCGTCAGTCAGAAAGAGATTCAGCTAGCCTCAAAGAGTGTCCGTCAGTTAGGAAGAGATTCAGGTATTTTTTAAAATATCTATGGAAAACACCACCATGGAAGCCGCTAACACTGTTCATCTATGCTATTTGTATCAAATGCATCATCACTGAACGCAGAAAACGATTCATCTATGTATCATCTAAATAAATTGCAGATAGCATAGGATTGCAAGGGTGACGCTCAGAGCTACAACTGGATATGCTCGCTGTATCGTCCTCATAGGTGCTGTATTACTTGCATCCGACCCTTGTGTTAGGTCCTTATTGCGCCTAGCTTCACCAATATTATGACCCTTATGTTCTTCAAACAATAAGGTTTGTATTTCACCAACAGAGCGTTATCTTTCAACACCGCGTCGGACAGGTGTTTGGGAGCCAGAGACGCGTGCGCCACCCATGGTTGCTCATTTAGTACTAACCCAGCCATCAGCCCTAGGGCATTCTGGGAATTTGCAGGCGATGAGTCACAATAACGTGGCTGAAGTATGTTGACCAGACCACACACTAGAAGTTGAAGGGACGACGACGATTCGGTCCGTCCTGGACCATTCTCAAGTCGATTGAATTTTTTTTTTTTTACCAAGATGGCTGCCTCTCACTGGAGGTCCTAAAGAGTCCATTTCGTACACAACCAACCTCTTACACATTTAGAATTGGTACCGAAAAATAAAAGTTTTCTCGGTTGGCGCAGTTTCCCACTGACTGAGAATACTCGGTTGGCGCAGTTAAGTGGTTAAGGCTAGCCAGCCTGTGGTCTATTCCCATTCCCATGACGTCCGCAAGTTCGTTGCTCTTGCTGCCGTCTTTGGCAATATGTCCTGGGCTGACATTCAGGCGCGGGGATTTTGGTGGTCGAACAAGGTCCTGGCTGCTCGGTACCTTGTCAATGCCCCTGGGCCCAGTCGGGCCTGTGTTGCTTTGGGTCAGCGGAGGCAGCCAGTTGTCTCGACTTCGAGTTGAGGAGTGAGCAGCAACCGCCTCCCGGGTAAGTCCCTATTCTTTTCCTCTGTGGGTAGTTTGCTCCTGGGAGCCGTAGGGAATCCCCCAGAAAACCAGCGTTGAATGTAATGAAACGCAATTTTCTGGGTGAGTCACGGAGGTTCCCCGGCGTCCCTCCCTCCGGTCGGTGTTTTTTTTCGCATGTTTTGACATCCAGCCTCAGAACTGGGGCGTGGACCGCCGGTGCAGTACGTCTGGGGCTCCCCCTTCCCCCTCCCGGGGAGGAGGGGAAGGGAGGCTGCGCAGACAGCGGCTCGACGACGAATGACATCATACTAGTTTGCTCGTGTTTGTTTGGAGAGTTCTATCCACTCGTTCGGCTTTTGGTTGCAATTTTCACCAGAATAGGAGTTTGTTTTCGGACGTCTACCTTTCTGGGTGCCTAACCCGGTCGATGGCAGACATTGAATGCTTCCAACCACACGGGGGTTTCTATAGGCCATTGCTTCCCTTGCCTCTCTGAGGGGGACGAGGTTCTGGTTCGTGGTCCCCGGTAGGCCCATAAGAACTCCGTACACATGACTGATGCCAAAGTCTGACATTAGCATATCAGCCTGGTAAGCTCCGGGGAGCCTCCGGGACTCACCCAGTAAATGGCGTTTCATTACATTCAATGCTGGGTTTTTTTGGACATTAGTGAAAGTAACAGATTAACATTAGGCGATGCATTTTTATGATTTATAACAAAATAGAGCATGATAACAAATTCATCATTATTTTATTATTAGTATTATTATGTATTACTCAGCAATGCTATACAGACAATAGCTGCATATCCACTTTGTGGACACTTCTTGCTACTATTCTTCTTCTTTGTACATTGAACAAGTGCTTGCATCTCTTTATTACTGCATTATCCCTCAGTTCCAGTTAATAGGAGCTGTTCTTCTTATCAACAAAATGTTCTCCTTTAAAAAAAAAAAATTGTCTGAAACACATTTCTGAAAATATTGGGATGAAACTTTCATGATGCTAAAGTCAATAAGTTGGAGATTTGTTTAACATTTAATATTAATTTTTACATAATTCGAATATTTTTTGCCCAGCACATGCACATGGTTTGTATTACGTAGGCTGTCAGAGAGGGAGGGGAGGCAGTCAAGAACCTGACCATACCCCCTTCCCCATTCCTGCCCACCCTCTTTACTCCTGCCCACCCTCCTTACTCCTGCCCACCCTCCTTACTCCTGCCCACCCTCCTCACTTTTGCTCAAAGCATTATATCAAAAAGAATTATTTAATTTTTCTAAACATGTACTATGTTTTGGTGGGAAAAATTTAGCCATAGAAACCTTAAATTTGTTTTATTTTGCCTTAATCGGTAATACTGCTTCCAGTCTCTGCTCAGCTACCCAGGACGATAGCAAACAACTTTTGCCCATTAATGATGGTAAGGACAATTTTATTCTTACTGTACTACCAGTGTGTGTACTGTATCATGTTGATGTCAATAACCAGAGATTGTGAGTGTTTTAATCAAGATATTTTCATTAACTAGTGTATTAATGTTGGTGTTGTCATTTACCAGTGATGGCGAGTGTATTAATTATAGTCATTACCCAGTGATGGTGAGTGTATTAATCATATTGGCATTACCCAGTGATGGTGAGTGTATTAATCATATTGGCATGACCCAGTGATGTTGAGTGTATTAACCCTTGTGTTGCTAAGGGCTGTTTGTCCCTTGTCACCCACAGGCGCATAACAAAAAAAAAAAAATCTTCCTAAACTGTTAATTTGTGTTCCCTGACCACAAGAGAGAGAGAAAAAATTAATCGTACATACAAATGACATAAATGAGCCGACAATATGAGCGATGACGTCACACCCTGCATACTTTCTCATGCAAGGTGTGTCCCAGAGGCATTGCGCGCAGTCTTCAAACAGTCAGAATTGCCATAAATTTATTTTTGCTGCATTATTTACAGTGTCTAGGCGTATTTTATCACAAATATTATTCACTAATTGTGTTACATATAATGTTACATATAATGTTCAATGGTAATAAATGTTGCATACATTGAGTATACACATGCACACAAAAATATTTTCCCATTATGCAAATATAATATGATTCACATTGTTCATTATTATATTTACACACATGCACACACTATTTACAGGTTTTTGCACTATTATTGCACATTTAGAATTCTTGGAGAGAGTGGTAGTTGTAGAAGCAGTTGACAGCACATAATGGGACTGCACACGCTTCACACCATGTTTGCACATGTTTACGTTTCTGATCTCTTTTCTGGGGGGAGCCCCGTCGGCTCCCCGGAGCTATCCCAGGCTGATATGCTAATGTCAGACTTTGGCATCAGTCATGTGTATGGAGTTCTTAGGCCTACCGGGGACCACGACCAAAACCGGGCCCCCTCAGAGAGGCAAGGGAAGCAATAGCCTATAGAAGCCCCCGTGTAGTTGGAAGCATTCTATGTCTGCCATCGACCGGAACAGGCAC